TAATATTAGCTTGCTTTGATTTCTGAACTAGTTTAAATTAACTTTTACATTCCTTTATATTTAAGCCTAATAAGGTTTAATTTACATTCTTAGTTTAAATTTTACTAAATTATTTTCATAATTGCGATTTTAATTAAAATTAAATCATTAAAGAATTTAATATTTATTATCAAAATTACATTTATTAATTTAAACAAATCCAAATTTTCAAATTAAATTTTGATTAAGATCTTTCTTTGTCTCTTCTTGCTTATATCTTTTGTCTCTTTCAAAAAACATTCTCCAAAGTTCCTTCAGTTTGACTATGATTAACTATTTTAATCGTTTTAGGGAGGTTAACATTTTAAAATGAACAAAAATAAAGAATAAAATTGAATCTCTGACATTCAGATCTTTGAACCAATTTCCGAATAACAAAGAGCATAAATTTTAAATAATTAAGTAAAAAATTGAAAAAAGAATACTAATTAGAAAAATTTATAGTTATGATTCCTCATTAATTGTTATTCTAGTTTACTATCCAAAAATAACTACCTGTCGATTTCAATAAGGAATGTTAATTTATTCCTTAATGATTCACAAATTCTCCTTTAGAAATAAGCGCACCTTATGATTAAAATACAGCCAATTAAGATATAAGTAGAATATTAATATTTAAGGTCTCTAAAAATAAATTTCGAATACTCTTAATAAGTTAATTTTTTTAGGTTAGAAGATCTTTGTATTTTTTATTCAATGGTGAAATTTACCAGACTGTCTGAACATCCCAGAGAGAGAGTTATTTCTACTGCCAGATGCTAAAATAGTTTCATTTGGCCAAAAGTATGCTGAGTTGACCCAATCACTATGACCATCCAATTAGACTTTTTATAACCCTGTCTAAACATCCAATAAGAAGCATACTGATAAAACAAAAATAGGATGGCCATCCAAAATAGCTTTTATTATCCAGTCTTCACATCCCATAAACAGATTGATTTATCCAAACCTCCAAAAGCTAAGGTAGTTCCATCTGGCAATAAACAACATGACCAGATAGCTCCAATTTGATCATTTAACTTTCCTTTTTATTATCCTGCCTTTCCTCCCATAAACGGATAGACTAATCTCTACTGCTAGATGCCGAAGTAAATCCTTCAGGTGAAAAACTCACTGATAAAACAGTATCATTATGACCATAAAATTAGGCTTAATATTATCCATCTTAACATTCCATAAATGAATAGATTTATCAGAACTACCAGATGCTAAAGCGGTTTCTTTTGGTGAAAAGCATATTGAGTTTACCCAATCGCTATGATCATCCGTTTAGGCTTTTTATAACCCTGTATAAACATCCCATAATCATAATCGGATAGACTAATCTCCCCACAAGATGCTAGAGTAGTTCCATCTGGAGAGAAACATACTGTGCTGACATACTTTTCATGACCTTTAAACTATCCTGTTGGAACAGAGTTATCTTTACTACTAGAGGCTTATGTAATTCCATCTGGGAAGAAGCATAAAGAGTACACAGGTCCCAAATGTTCTTGCAATTCATTCATATGATGGATTTTCACTCTCCTCCACTTACAATTTACAAGTAGAGTCATTCAAATTCATCCCACTAATGTCTACATTTTCGAATTCCGATCCACTTAAATTACTTCTGACAATATTTCCATCAATTAAAGTAGTATTCTTGATCCTAATATTTTCAAAAGATTAATTCTACAAATCAACCTTAATACCTACTAATAAATTCAGTCCATTCGATCCACATTAAATCAACTTTTCATCAATAGTTGTGAGTAGAATTAAAATTTAAGAAAATTAATCACTTATTATTTGCTTATATTATTTTTCTTAAATGTAAACCTTCCTTATGATTTATTTCTGCACTATACTAAAGGGATGATCCTATATATTTCTCAAAACATTAGTGAACTTGTTAATTTTCGTTTTTACAACACTTTTTGTCAATTGTTAATTGGCAATTGAATCATAAAGCTTGAGGTTGAATGGTTTTGAAAGAAATCCTAGAATATCGAAAATTTTCTCTTTTTTCAGTACATCAATAATAAAATTAAATATTGATTCATCAGTATCCTGGATGTAATCTAAAATTTCATAAAGATCTTCTTTACTTTAATAAACTTTCGTTCCTCTAAAAACTTTCACATTTTTTTTTCCAGATTTTAGCCAAATCCTATAATTTCTTATTCCAATTAGCTCTTTATCATATTTAATTTTGTAAAATATGAATTTTTCTCATTATTCCAATCTTTTAATTTAGTTCCATCTTAATCAATATTCGAGGATTCAGCTAAATTTTTGTTTTTGCTGATAAGATATATTAATGACTAGTTTTCATATTCAATCTAATCATAAATTTTATTGATTGATCCAAATAAATCTTACCAATGTTTTTTAGCATGTTTTCAGTTTGAGATATCATTAATTTAAAAGCTATTTTCTATTTGGTTAAGTTGGACATATCATCTAACTTAAATTCTTCACATTTTTAAGTCACCTTTTCAAAAAACTTAGAAATTGGAACTGTCTTAAATTTTTATTTATAAATTAGATCAAGATTTTAATATTAAAAGGAGGACTATTTTACATGAAATCTTAAAAAAAGGATAAAGTTCTTTCTGCAATACTTTTGCCAAAATGTAATTACTCAATAGATCAATTTAAAATGAGACATAGAGAGAGTGTATTTTATAATTGCTCATAGTGAACTTAATATCCTTAATCTTATTCTTATAAATTAAATTATAGTATATTCTATTAATACTTCTGTTATTTTGCATCTTAATGGTAAAGAGTATTTAAATAATCTTTTTTGCCCTGTGTTTTCCTTACCTTTTCATAAGGATTTTTTAGTTTACTGTCTTGTTTATTTATGTGGAAAATAAACTTATTTAATATTTATGACAAGATGTATTATCTATA